ATAGCTCAAAAATTACGGCTACTAATCATCATTACACAAATGTAATAATAATAATTATTTATTATTTATATAGCGCTTTTCTGGGTACTCAAAGCGCTTATGTAGGACTTTGTAGGACTTTCTTCCTTCTGTGGAAAATAAGATTTAGTTTTGAATATTTTATTTGCGTGAAGAAATCATTCAAACCAGTTTTGTGAACCAGATCAACTTATCAACTGAAAAAAGTCTGAGTTATGCCATAAACTTTCATGTCAATTATTTCAATGAATAAAGACTTACATTTAAGTCTATTTGCCACATAAAACTTTCATATGGCTTCAGAAGACTTGAAATATAGCATGCAAGCTGTACAGAGCATTTTTATTATTTATCATATATGTTTTGGAGCAACCCGAAAGTAAGTAAATGATGACAGAATTTCCTTTTTTTTTGTGTGAACTATCCCTTTAACTTGACTGTGTAAAGACGAGAAAGAGAGAGAGCAGGCCGTCATTCATAAATATGGCTCTGAAACCAGAGACAGTCTCTCTCTCTCTCTCTCTCTCTCTCTCTCTCTCTCTCTCACACACACACACACACACACTGTCCTTCGTTGATACTGCAGTAACCACATACAACCACACAGGACATGATCAACCACATCCTCTCTCGTTTCTAAATCAGACACAGCATCTATTCTCATCTCTCTCGCTCTCTCTCTCTCAGCGTACACCCACACACATATTCCAGTGTCCTTCGTTGATACTGCAGTAACCACATACAACCACACAGGACATGATCAACCACATCCTCTCTCGTTTCTAAATCAGACACAGCATCTATTCTCATCTCTTTCGCTCTCTCTCTCTCTCTCTCTCTCTCTGTCCACCCTTTTCCTCTCTAATGAATGTTGCAAAGTGACCTGCTGGGGCATGGGTGTTTTGAACTTGCTTATGATACTATTATTAACATGCATGATGGCGGGCCCTTGTGATGCCTCGCCATGATAAATGAGCATTTGTTAATTGGATGTCGAGAAAACTCCCGTTTCCAAAGCATTTGACACATCCATATCCCCAAACTACCGACTCCTGACGATTTGCAATTAAATAATGGCAGGCAGGAGGAATAGGGGTTCTACAGGACTGGTGGGCAGAATGATTACTGGGGGAATGATTTTAAAGAATGCAGCATAAACAGATGATTACAAAAGGGACGGCAACACCTGAGCTACCGGGGAAGAGAGGAGAAAGGGTGCAATAATTACCCATCTAAGAACAGATAAGACACAAAAACTGTAGAAATGTGTCAGGGGCTTTTGTTTTGAGTCATGTCAATTTGTGTGATAATTAATGGGGATTTTTGTGGATACAGTGGAGTCCAAAAGTCTAAGGTCACCAGTGAAAATGGTTTTATAATGTACTGTTCTAATTCAATGATCATCATTTTGTGTTACAATTGATATTGTCAGCACAACAATATGAGTGAACATTTTAATTATTGAATTATTGAATAAAGTTTGTCCTTCTAGATCATTGTTAATTATTGTTAATGCTCAACCTTTTTGACTCCAAGTCCCCCTACTGTCCACAGCAATATTCAAAGGTAATATTTACTGAAATTAGGAGTGTCCACAGATAATAAGTAACTCAAATAATTATAATTACAACTAATTAAATGTAAGAAGAGCTAAATCATGAGTTGTTTTAGCTTATTTTAAAACTTGTTTTGTCTTATTTTAAATAATCTTGAGGCCCTGCACGAGTTTTACACAAACTCCAAAGGTTTGTGTAAAACCTAATAATCCACCAAGATTTGAGTTCAAATGGTCAATGTCACACATTTTCTAGTGACCTGAAATGGAACATAATTTGTGACCCTGGACCACAAAACCAGTCTTAAGTGTAATTTTTTTGAAATTGAGATTTATACATCATCTGAAAGCTGAATAAATATGCTCTCCATTGATGTATGGTTTATTAGAATAGGACAATATTTGGCCGAGATACAGCTATTTGAAAATCTGGAATCTGAGGGTGCAAAAAAATCTAAATATTGAGAAAATCGCCTTTAAAGTTGTCCAAATAAAGTCCTTAGCAATGCATATTACTAATCAAAACTGAAGTTTTTATATATTTACGGTAGGAAATTTACAAAATATCTTCATGGAACATGATCTTTAGTTAATATCCTAATGATTTTTGGCATAAAAGAAAAATCTATAATTTTGACCCCTACGATGTATTATTGGCTATTGCTACAAATAAAGCCGTGCTACTTATGACTGGTTTTGTGGTCCAGGGTCACATTTAAGAATATTAATTATCTACTATTTATGTTGTAATCTATTTATTCATTCATTTATTCATTCAAATCCAAAAACATTGTGTATATTTCTATGCTAGAACAAAAAAATTGAGTTCCATTTTGTTTTAATGCAGTCTCAGACTTCTGGATGGAGGCTGGAGGTAAATTTGCATTTGGCAGGAGCTCTAAAATATAGCATTCTCTCCACTGGCAGCCATCTTGCAGAGTCTCTTTGCTCCTGACAGTTCACCATCATAGCCAGTAATAAATGCAGAGGTGCTCAGGGCCCTTGGTTGTGGGTTTAAGGAAGATGTTCCTTAGTAATTCCAACCCGCAAACAGACAGAGACCAAAGACTAACCTGAGTCGGGAGGAGATTTGCGAGCTCATAAACAGTAAACCTCTTTCTCTCCTAATCACCTTGTACAGATAAAGTGTCTTTCCTCTGGGCCCCGCTGCAAACTCAGAACGAGACTTTTGTACACTGTCACATGCATCATTGTAAATCCCACATAAAGAACATCTGTTATTACTATTTCTCAAACACACCCAGAGCCAGTCAGCTTTAAAACTATTTATTTTTGTACAGCATTATATTCTCACTGCTACAATGCCTCCATCGGCACTTTCTTTGCCAGGCAGAGGGGTGGGATTAATTTATATGTGCAGATTATATATAGGGCCAAAATTACATAGAGACAAGAAGGAAGATTTAACAGCTAGTGTTGGATAAGCAAAAGTAATCCAAGCTTAACGCATGCACATAAAACTAAATGAAATTAACAAGAAAGAGTGAGGGAAAGGGTTGGGAGATGAAAGAAGAAGAAGAAAAAGCACAAATATAGACCATCAGGAAATTGTAAGTCCCAAGCCTAAAACCATCAGGTCTTGGCTGATAATCTGTTGACCCATTTGATTAATATTAAAAATGGGCGGGTATTAAAATTGTACCATTTTTCGTACTTATTTATTATAAAGAAAGGCGATTTTTCGAGGTGATTTGAAAGGTGAGGTGGAATTAAACTGACGAACGCTTCACTGACATGTCTTACCTTGCACAATTTATAGATTCTCCCATCACTCTTTTCTTTCTTTCTTTCTTTCTTTCTTTCTTTCTTTCTTTCTTTCTTTCTTTCTCTCTTTTTCTCTCTTTCTTTCTCTCTCTCTCTCTCTCTTTCTTTCTCCTCTAACTCCTCTAAAAAAGTGGCCCATTTCTTCTCAGTCTCACCCCCAGAGCAAAACTCTCTGCACCATCAATTATTTCATTCACTCTCTGAATTAGATCATATAGTTCACCAGGCTGCACAAGCTTGACATCGTCTGAACTCAGCAGAAGTTCACCTGCAGTGTGAGGCCTGTCATTCAGACAGATGAGTGAAAGTGGTGTTCATGTTGTTTTAGCATTGATTAATGTCTCCAGTGGAAGGCTTTCAGCCTGCTCCTGCTAGTCTGATGTCTGCTCATAATTAGAGGAAAATATTTACCCAAGTCTAGTCTTTGTTGAAAAAAAAAAAGGCAATTTGCCAAGTAATGGTGATGGCCGTGAACATTTGAAAACCATTAGGACAGTCAAATACTCGTCAAGTCAAGGCTGGGTTTAGTCATGTAATGTAGTTTTCTTGTGACATGACTGAAACCTTTAAAACACCTCTTTGTTGATCTCAAGCAGTTTTGCCGTCCTTAA